ATATTACCTCAATTTTTTATCCTTTTCAGAGTAGGTTATTTGATTGCCTTATCTTCATATTCAGTATTTCCTATTTTCTTATTGAGTGCAATAAAATATTCATTTCAAGTTCAAATTAATGAACATTTTAGAATTGAAAATTTTAAGTGTGTTGTCCTTTACCTCATGCATAATATTTGCAATAGCTGCTTTAAAGTGTTAAAGCATTGGGTATTTCAATGTCTGGATCATCTCTGGGTTACCATATGTTAATTCCCTTTTCTTTCCAGAATGGGTCATGTTTTACTGGCTCTTCGTATGTTAGTAATGTTGACTTGTACCCTGAACATTGTAGTTATTTTGTGAGACTCTGGCTTTATAATAATCCTTTGGAGAATGTGGATATTTTAATTTTTTAAAGATTTATTTACTTATTTGAAAGGCTGAGTGCCAGAGGGAGAGACAGAGACATCGTCTACTTGCTGGTTCACTCCCCCAAATGGTTGCAACTCCAGGGCTGGGCCAGGCTGAAGCCAGAGCCAGGAGCTCAATCTTGATCTGCCACATGGGTATCGGGGTCCAAGTATTTGAGTCAGCTTCAAACTTCTTTCCTAGGCACGTTAGCCGGGAGTGGAATTGGAAGTGGAAAAGCTGGGAGTCAAACCCCCACTCCCACATAGGATGCCATCATTGCAATCAGTGACTTAACCCCACTGTACCACAGTACCAGCCCTTGAATGTTTTTAATTGTATCATTCAACACTAGCAGAGTCATACCATAAATTCTGACTGTCCTTCCATTAGAGATGGTTTCCATCTAATGTCAGTTCTCAAAAATTATAATAATACTAGTTTGGGACTATGCCCTGCCTGAGTGGTTCAGAGCTTAAGGCTGAGCCAGAGTTCATAGTCCAGATGAAGGGATCCCCTTTGCTAACTTTCCACCATATATCTTCACCACTTTGGCTCCTATGTTTTCATCAACACTTATTATATGATTTTAATTCAGCCATCCTGGTGGGTTTGTAGTGGTATCTCTTTGTAGTTTTGATTTCCATTTACTGATAACTAAAGATGCTGAACATCTTTGTTTATTGACTTTTGTCTACTTTGGGAAAATGTCTATTTAGATCTTTTACCCTTTTTCAAATTGGGTTATTCTTTTGTCACTGATTTTTTTTTAAATTTTTTGACAGACAGAGTGGACAGTGAGAGAGAGAGAGACAGAGAGAAAAGTCTTCCTTTGCCATTGGTTCACCCTCCAATGGCTGCCGCGGCCGGTGTGCTGTGGCCGGCGCACCGCGCTGATCCGATGGCAGGAGCCAGGAGCCAGGTGCTTTTCCTGGTCTCCCATGGGGTGCAGGGCCCAAGCACCTGGGCCATCCTCCACTGCACTCCCTGGCCACGGAAGAGAGCTGGCCTGGAAGAGGGGCAACCGGGACAGAATCCGTTGCCCCGACCGGGACTAGAACTCGGTGTGCCGGTGCCGCTAGGCGGAGGATTAGCCTAGTGCGCCGCGGCGCCGGCCCTCTTTTGTCACTGAATTATAAAACTTCATGCAAGTCATCTTCAAAAATTCACAGAAAGTAATTAATAAAAGTTATGCATGGATTTCAAAAATATTTTCATCAGAATTTAACTTTTAATTCCATTTCCCCACAAACCTTTTAAAGCACTACTGTGTATTTTAAATATAAGTCCCTCATCAGACAAATATTTTCTTTGATTTTTGTCTGAGTTTTCATGATCTTGTTAGTGTCTTTTTTAAAAAGATTTATTTACTTGAAAGTCCGTTAAACAGACAGCAGACACAGAAATCTTCTATTTGCTGGTTCACTCCCCAAATGGCTGCTATAGCTGGAGCTGGGCCAGGCTGAAGCCAATAGCTGGAGGCTGCTTGTGCACCTCCCATGTAGGTGCAGGGGCCCTAGCACTTTGACTGTCCTCCACTGCTTTACCAGGAACACTGGCATGGGGCTGGATTGGAAGTGGAGCAGCTGAGTTTGAATCAGCACTAATATGGGACGCCAGTGTCATAGGTAGTGGCTTTACCTGATGTATCGCAATGCTGGCCCCTTTAGTGTCTTTTGAAGTGTAAAATTTTTAATTTTGATAAAGTCCAATTTATCAATGTTTGATTGTTGCTTTTCATGCTTTTGCTATTATATCTAAGAATCTATTGACAAATCCAAGGTCAAAGATTTACTCTATGCTTTCTCTTGAATTTCAAGATTTTAGTCCTTACAATTAGGCCTTTGATCCATTTTGAATTAATTTTTGTATATACTATGAGGTAGGGGTCCAATTTCATTTTACGTGTGTCTATATCTATATGTCTGCCTCTCTTCCAGTATCACACTCTCTTGATTATTACGGCTTTTTAGTAAGTTTTGAAATCTGAAAATGTCAGTCTTGCCACTTTCTTCTTGTTTTGTTCAGGATTATATAGGCTATTCTGTTTCTCTTCCTATTCCATGTGTATTTTAGAGTTTCGTTATTTATACAAAGAAGTCAATTGAGATTATGGCAGGCAATGCACCTTCCCCTCTCTCTCCCCCCACATACCTCTCTCTCTTCCCCCTCTAACTCTTTCAAGTATTTTTTTTTAAAGTTAGGTATTATGTTCTCACATATTATAGTTGAATTATCTATGTCTTCATTTTCATTAGCTTTTGCTTCCTGTATTTTGGTAATATGTTACAGGGTGTATATGAGGGGTCTTCCAAAAGCTCATGGTAAGTATTTATTATGAAAAACTGCCTGGATTTCACAATTTTTATACCAGAATAAAGTTAAGTTTTAATTCTACTTTTACACAAACTTCCTGAAGTACCATCTTATCTTTATAATTCTCACATCTTCATGATTGACCATTTGCTATTATAAAATGTCCCTCTTTGTCTCAACATTTTGTTTTAAACTCTATTTTCTCTGATACTACTATAACCACTCCAGTTTCCTTATATTTACTGTTTGTATGATTTATAATTTTCAGTCCTTTTACTTTTAAATCTGATTAATTTTCTATGAAGAACATATTCCATAGTTAGCATACAGTTTGGAATCATGTGTTTCTTGTTAATCTAGTCTGACAATCTGTTTTCATTGGATTGTTTAATTCATCCACAGGTAGTAGTTTGTGGTATTTTATCCAAAATTTATAGCTGGCATTATGTTGGAAAAGCTGTTTGGATTTTACTCTGCTTTTGTAGTCCTGAATATTCTTGTTTTTTATTGAGTAAAATTTACACACAAGGAAATTGCCTAATCTAAAGCATATAATTTATAAACTTTCAACAGATCCATATATACATCTGTGTAACTAAAACACTAAGATATAAAATAATATCAACCCATAAATTCCCTGTATGTATCTTTCCATTGAATATCTGCTCCCAGCGTACATCTAGATAACCCTACTTATTATTTTCACAATTATGAGAAACTTATTAGGAGCTGCTTGCATCTAGTTGATTTTTTTTCTGAAAAAATAACGTAAAATTTTATTACAAGTGAAGTGCTTTAAAAACCTCAACCAGATTTAAAGCAAGTTTAAAACTTTTAAAGGTGTATTTAGAAAAAAACAGGCTTTATAAAGACAAATCTGTCATTACCCAAAGGACATCTTGAGGTAAAAATCAAAAACCCAGATCAGTTACATGGTCACCAGGCTAAAAGCAAGTGCTTAAGGTTTCCAACTGCAAACTTCTGTTCGTTTCTCATTGCTGGAATTTCATAGTCATTTGTACTTGTTGGATGACTAAACCAAAGGTTGTAGAGATGGTACTTCTACTTAGTGGCAAAAGCAGACGGATTCTCTGTTGGCGGGGCAGCTGCTTATGTCTCTTTGCCACCTTGTGTTGAGGGTTTTCTGGGTGTCTATGTTGGCAACCGAGGTTGCAGTTGCATGAATGTTCAGGTGGCCGGTGACCTTGGATCTCATCTTAATTTTCCTCACCTTCTTCAGTGCTATCCCCTCTAGGCTATTTCTGATGAGAATTCCTTAGGAGCCAAGGTCTGTAACCCCCAGAAACAGTCTTTCTGGTCTACCTTGTTCTTTTGCACCCTCAGCTACTTCTCTTTGCACTTAAAGGCTGATCGGAATGTTATGGTTACGCCCACAGCTTCTCTGCATGTGTGTGTGAAGCTGGGATCCTTCCCCTGCATGAGGTTTGCAATAGGTGGGTTCTGATTCTGAATTGTTTGCCCACCTTCATTATTATGATAATTCTCTTGGCAACTGGGTGGAGGCCCCCTAGGTTAGGTGGTATGAAAAATAGTTAGTTTATTATCCTCCCATAGGACCTTGTAAGCTTTGCTAAAAATCAAATCAACGGTCAAACACTCTGTCTCCGATGCCATGATTATTATTCACACACAGTCTGGAGTACAGATACCTCCTTTGGTGTCACTCCCATGACCAAGCCTTTTAGAGGGTGTTTTTTTTTTTCTTTAGAGGGTTTTACAGGCAGAGTGGACAGTGAGAGAGAGAGACCGAGAGAAAGGTCTTCCTTTGCCGTTGGTTCACCCTCCAATGGCCGCCACCGCCGGCGCGCTGCGGCCGGTGCACCGCGCTGATCGGAAGGCAGGAGCCCGGGGCTTTTCCCGGTCTCCCACGTGGGTGTAGGGCCCAAGCACTTGGGCCATCCTCCACTGCACTCCCGGGCCACAGCAGAGAGCTGGCCTGGAAGAGGGGCAACCGGGACAGAATCCGGCGCCCCGACCGGGACTAGAACTCGCGGTGCAGGCACCGCAGGCAGAGGATTAGCCCAGTGAGCCGCGGGGCCGGCACCTCTCTATTTCTTAGACTGGAATATTTAACTGTTCTTTCCCTACCGTCCTTCTGATGACGTTCTTGTCTCTGTGCGGTGGTGCCACGCTCGGGGTCCTTGGCGGTGCCATGCTCGGGGTCGCAGCGCTGAGGGAGGGGCAGTTGGCGGTGGGGGCGTGGCGGGGAGGGGCGGGGAGGGTGTGGAGGGCGCTGTGGCGCGTCGGCCTCAGAGGTCACAATTGGGGTGATGGTGAGTAGGGCTGACAGACTAGAGCCTGCAGAAGGAGCTGGCCTCCTCCCAGGGTATGATGGTAAGTGAGAGGGGCAGCTGAAGCAAAGGGGTTGTTCAGGATTCCCTAGGGTTTGCTTTGAATTCCTGTTAGCAATTGAACTTCCAGATGCCATTCTGATCACCTTAGTTTACCTTTTCCTGTTCTGGAATTTATGTAGATATCATTGACATAGAAGTTGGCAGTTTTACCTTTTGCTTATAACTTTGGTGTACAGTAATACAGGGTAAAATGTAAAGTTTTGTTTCCTTACACGTAAGGAGACTGCTGATGTGACACAGCAGGTTATGGGAGTCTCTGGTATCACAAATTGAGTAGCGGTTCCAGTTTGGTCTATTGCATTCCCTATTATTATATTCAGCTCCCTATTACTGCCCTTGGGACCCTGCCACCCATGTGGCAGGGTGAAGTTCCTGGCTTCTGGCTTTGGCTTGGCTCAGCCCTTGTCATTGGGACCATTTGGGGATTGATCCAGCAGATGGAAGATCAATCTATGTGTGTCTGTAACTCTGCCTTTCGAATAAGCAAAATAAGCTTTAAAAATGTTAGTAAACTGGATAAGATGCATTAGTTTATTAATATTTTGCTTTTCATGAATGAACTTTGATCAAATATAACCATTTTGTAAAAATATTTTTTAAAGCTGGAAAATAGTCAAGTTACCAGGATTTTTATATTTGTTTACTTATTTTTAAAAGATTTATTTATTTGAAAGTCAGAGCAAGAGAGTGAGAAATAGATATCTTCCATCCTCCGGTTCACTCCACAGTTGGCTGCAATGACTGAAGCTATGCCAATCCGAATCCAGGAGCCAGGAGCTTCCTCCGGGTCTCCCACGTGGATGCAGGGGCCCAAGGACTTGGGCCATCTTCTACTGCTTTCCCAGGCCATAGCAGAGAGCTGGATCAGAAGAGGAGCAGCCTATATGGGATGCCAGCACTGCAAGCAGTGGCTTTACTTGCTATGCCACAGTGCTGACCCCTGACTTTTATATTTAAATCATGAAAATTGTTATTCACTCTTTTATATAAAAGTTTATTTTGTACTGTTTTCATAGCCAAATTTGCCTAGAAAATTAGTAATTTTCTGTTATGATAAACTTATTTTCAATATGAAACTTATGTACACATATTTGAGTTAAATCTCTTACATATTTACTCAATAGTGTATCACTTAAGAAAAAACTTGTTTATGCTAAACAACTATAAAAGTACAGCATGTAAAATTGTGTGGCGCAATGTTCAGAAAAATATGCATGTTGGAAATGATCTAAAGAATAAAGTAGTTACAAGTTTGGCTAGGAAAACTTTGAAGTTGTTATCTCTCTAATGCTGATGTTATTAGAACAAAATTACCATCAAATTCAGACTTAAGAATCTTCTTTGAACTGTGAGTAAGAAAAAATGAGGAAAGATTTTAGAAATTTCAGGAACTATTGAACATAAATGTGAACACGAAAGAAGAGGCTATTTAAAATAAATTTTAGGAAGCTTACATCCTGAGTGTCAATTTCTGATAAAGTAAAAATGAATTTAATAGAGCATGGGACTGATGAAGAACAGATTTTTCACATCTTAGAAAATCTATTTTATTTGGCAAAGATTTCCAAATTACTTTTAAAAAATCTCATAATGGGCTGATGTACTGAGGCTGACTCATTTACTCCAAATAATCCTTATTTTTACTCTACAAATGTTTTAGCAATAATATATCAGGAACTAAAGTTAAATAACTTTTATTTGCATTAGCTTTTTGAAAATTATCTTGGGTTTTCTATATAGACAATCACATTATCCGCAATTAATGGCAAAAATATCTCCAGCTTTTTTTTCTTTTTTTTTTTTTTAATTGAATGAACGCATTTTTACATAGATACAGCTTTAGGAATACAGTGGTTCTTTCCCTCATGCCCCACCTCGCTCCCTTCCCACCTCCCATTCCCTCTCCCATCTCCTTCATTATGAATCATTTTTAGTATGACTTTATATATAGAGGACCATCTCTATGCTAATCATAGATTTCAACAATTTGCCCCACTCCCCCACACAATATATAGAGTACAGTTTGGGGAGAGAATTTGCAGTTGATTCTCATAACCTCGTTTTTTGTGTTCAATTTCCTAGCAAGCACCTCCAATATAATGTTTAATATTAGTAGCCAGAGAAGTTATTGTAGTTTTAGTCCTATTTTTAGTGACAATAAATGTTGCCATTTGATGTGATTCTCAAAGTTTTTGTTAAATGTTTTCCATTGATTTAAGAGGTTATTAGGTATTTCCCTCTAATACTTCTTTTTAAAAAATTTGAATGGTTTGACATTATCAGAAGCTTTTTCTGAAAGTATTGATAGATCACAAGGTTTTTGTTTTTTAAATAAAGATTGACTTAATCTGAAAGAGGGAGAGACAGAAATATCTTCAACCCACTGGTTCATTCTCCAGATGGCTGCAACGACTGGGGCTGTGCCAGGTGGAAGCCAAGACCCAGGAGTTCTATCTGGGACTCCCAGGCCAATGGCAGGGGTCCAAACACTTGGGCCATCCTCTACTGTTTGTCCAAGGCCATTAGCGAGCTGGGTGCGAAGTAGAGCAGCCTGGTGCCTGCCAGCATCACAGGTAGAAGCTTAACCTGCTAAGCCACAATGCTGGCCGCCGATCATAGGGTTTGATCCACTGTTCTGTGTATCACTCAGTGTTCTCACACCACACACTATGCTTAAGGATTTATTGTAGACTGTTTATGAAAGAAACAATTTTCCAAAGAGTGAGCCAGTAAGTGATGATACGACCCAGAGTCTAACAACAGTTGGAAGCATTATTACCACGATGCATAAAGGTTCAAGTAGAAGGAACAATGTTACTAGAATTAGAAAAATCTGTATTTGTGGGAGGAAGGTTTCCTGTGGAAGTTTAACTGTAGATAGGGGAATACAGACATCTTTTCCCCAGAAGCATTTTACTTAAGGTATACAAACTTCATGCATTCCATAATTTAGGAACATACTGATTGTCCCAATCCAAGCCACACTCCCACCCTTCCACCTCCTCCCTCTCCTATTCCTATCCTTATTTTTCACTAAGATCTATTTTCAATTAACTTTATACACAAGATTAACCCCATAATAAGAGTTCAAATAGTATGAAAAAACCTGTTTCTCAACAGTCGAGAAGAAGGCTGCTCAAAGTCATTGCACCTTAAAGTGTCAATTTCATTTCTATAGATTACCTTTTAGAAACTCTGTTGGTTAACACAGATCAAGAAGAACATATGGTATTTGTCCCTTTTCGACTGGCTTATTTCACTAAGTATAATGTTATCCAGTTTCATCTTTTTTTTTTTTTGCAAACGACAGGATTTCATTTTTATTTACAACTGTGTAGGATTCCATAGTGTGTGTGTGTGTGTGTGTGTGTGTATAAAATCTCCCATGATTTATTTATCCAGTCTTCAGGTCATGGACATTCGGGTTGATTCCATGTCTTAGCTATTGTGAATTGAGCTGCAATAAACATGGGGGTACAGATAACAATTTCATATACTGATTTCATTTCCCTTGTGTATATTCCCAGGAGTGGGATGGCTGGGTCATATGGTAGGTCTATATTCAGCTTTCTAAGGTATCTCCAAACTATCTTCCACAGTGGCTATACCGTATACAATATTCCTATTCACTTTAGATTTCTTTTGTACTTTTACTGGGAGATTTTCTGCCTGCACCTTCTTCATAGCGATGACCCTGTATCTGTGTATTGCACATTCTTGAGTATCTTTTGTAAGGCTTTATGAGTGGTGACAAATTCTTTGAATTTCTGTTTGTTATGGAAGTTCTTTATTTCACCTGCATTCATAAATGAGAGCTTTGCAGGGTACAGTATTCTGGGTTAACAGTTCTTGTTTCTCTCAAGACTTGGACTATCTCGCCATTCCCTTCTAGCCTGTAGGGTTTCTGATGAGAAGTCTGCTGTGAGTGTCATTGGAGATCCTCTGAGAGTAATCTGGCCTTTCTCTCGTGCACATTTTAGGATCTTTGCTTTACTGTGGATAATCTGACTACAATGTGTCGTGAAGATCTTTTCTGGTCACTTCTATTAGGAGTTCTATGTGCTTCCTGTACTTAGATGTTCCTTTCTTTCTCCAACTTAGGGCAGTTTTCTGTAATTGTTCCACTAAAAAGGCCTTCTAATCCATTCTGTTCCCACACTTTCAGGAACTCCTAAAAGCCATATGTTGGGTCGTTTGATAGCCTCCCATAAATCTCCTGCACTGCTTTATAGTTTTCTAATATCTGCTATTTTTGATCTGACTATTAAAATTTCCAGAGACTTGTGTTCTAACTCAGATATTCTTTCTTCTGCCTCACCGATTCAGTTGTTTAGGGTTTCCACTGCATTTTCTGATTTGATCTGCAAAATTCTTCATTTCAAATATTTCATTTTGATTTCTCTTTTTTTGAAGATTTATTTATTTGAAGGGTAGTTAGAGGCAGAGAGAGAAAGAGATAGAAAGATATCTTCTATCTACTGATTCACTCCCCAATTGGCTGCAATGGCCAGAGCTGGGCTAATCAGAATTCAGGAGCCAATAGCTTCTTTTGGGTCTCCCATGCGGGTGCAGGGGCCATCTTCTACTGCTTTCCCAGGTCATAGCAGAGAGCTGGATCAGAAGTGGAGCAGCCAGGATTCAAACCGGCTCCCATACAGGATGCTGGCACTGCGGGCGGTGGCTTAACCCGGCCCCATCCAGGGAGCTATCTAACCGACCTTGACCATAGCAGGGGTGGATGAAGCAATGGACTCTTATTTATAAGGACTTGTTTTATCTGAAGGCCTTTTTACAATAGAGGCTCCCCGACACACACACTTTGTGACTTTGTAAGTCTGGAGCAAAAATCTAACAAGCAAATTGAATAGAACAGGATCTAGAACATAAAGATGAAATCATTATTAGAGTACCTAGAAAGATACCTAAACTAGGAGGAAGTTTTCTCATGGAGAGAGGCATGTAGGCCTGGCTAGATATATGTGAGGCTCAAATCTATCTATCTCATTGGATGGGATACTGGAACAGATATAAGAAGATGTGAACTTCTTTAGGGAAAACTTGCTGTTGACTCTCATTACCTAGCTGGCCTGGGAGAAGAGCTGGCCAGAACAGGAGGTTAGTATAGAATAGGTGGCATATCTAAAAGGAAGATCATAGTCCTGCCTGTACTGATCCTAGGCCTTCCCCTCAACAGTGATGCTCATCTTGGAAGCTGGGCAGAATAAAGGGCTTTGTCTGTTATTTATTTGAAAGAGTGTTACACAAAGAGAGAAGGAGAGGCGGGGGGGGGGGGGGGCTTCCATCTGCTGGTTCATTCCCCAATTGGCCACAGCGGCCAGAGCTGCGCTGATCTGATGCGAGGAGCCAGGAGCTTCTTCCGGGTCTCTCATGTGGGTGCAGGGGCCGGAGGACTAGGGCCATCTTCTAGTGCTTTCCCAGCTATAGCAGAGAACTGGATTGAAAGTGGAGCGGCCGGGACTCAAACCGGCACCCATTTGGGATGCTGGCACTGCAGGCTTTACCCGCTGTACCACAGCATCAGCCCCGTAAAGGGCTTTTTCAACTTGGAGCTAGCAGGGTCTGTGGTTTTAACCTGCAAGCCCTTCAGCCCCAGGGCAGTTCCACTTATCCAGCTCTTGACAGAATTTTGTAGAGGCTGGTTTTCTTCAGTACAGCTATTTGCCCAATATCCTGGCTTTCCATATCAAAACCTGATAGTATGTGGGGTGACTGGCCTCACTGGGTCTCTTCGATGCCAGAACACTGTTATAAAAAAGAGTAAAGTACTACACAGGCTATGTAGATAAATCTCAAAAACAGCATGGTAAGTGAAAGAAACCAGACATAAAAGTCAACTATTGAATGATTTCAGTTACAAGAAAGCTTCAAAATACCCAAGTCTATAGTGACAGAAAACAGATTGGTGATTTTCAGGAGATGGGGATCAAATTGGCATGAAGGGCTTATTAGGCTTATCCCTTCTGGGGCCACGAGGATGTTTTTGGACTACTTAGAGATAGTGATTGTGCACATGTAAATGTACTAAATGCCACTGACATGTTTGCTTTAAAGTGGTTAATTTTATGTGACTTTCACCTCAATAACAAGGCAGCTTCTCAGCAGATTCTGGTGTAAGGAATTTAGAGTTCATAGGTATAAGATCTGTACTTAGTTTTTTCTCAACTTAAAAGCCTCTGAGAAATTCTTAAGAAACCAAATCAGAGCAGACCAGACCATGTCAAACATATCCCCTTACTGTATAAACGGGCTTGTCTAATTCGATCAGTTTATCTTAGTCTCTCCACCCCTCCAGTTTTCTGTCCTGGTGGTTTCTTCCTGCTTATCTTGTAACATGGTTACCATGTGGCTTGAAGTCCTGGCTCTGAGCAGCCCTAGGGACTGCTAGATTGCCGAGTTTGCAGTTTACCAGCTTTGTTTTCAACATATAGCTCTAGATTGCAACAGCTCTGACCTTTAGGAGACAAATAAGTATTAGTGTGTTTCCACTGAATTTTGCAGAACGTCTCCAACCTTAATACAAGTGCAAACCTTTGAGTACAAACTTGGATCCTTAGAACGATGTCCATTCCAGTGCTAATTTAGTGTATCCAATATGCCTGCGCACCCCAATGCCTCTCCATACCCCCCCACCACGTAGCAGCAGGAGAGAGCCCATTAGGGTCAGAGAGAGGGTAAGAGGGCCAGAGAAGGCACCGAGGAGGTGGCGTTTGGCTTGCACTCTGTTGAGTGGGCAAAGATGGAGGGAAAGAACATTCTAGTAATTAGAAACCACACACAGGGCATACATACTCCGATACAGAAATTTAAAGCACGGATGTTGGTGCTGGAGGGTGAAGTGATTAAACTAGTCTCGCTTTTTTCTATCTCTTCTTGCCATTGTATTCCTCAGTCCTCTCACCACTCCGTCCAGTGCCACCACCCCTCGATCCTCCCTGTTGGCAAAACACTCTCCAAACTGCCCGTGCTCTGGTAGTTATTCATTCTGCACTAAAGTGACCGTATGACTCCTCATTTAATATCCTTAGTGTATACGTGCAATTGTAAGTGAAGGTGTTTTTTCCCCTCCAGATACTGCCCTAACATCGCTTCTTTTCCTCTTTGTGAAATATAGGTGCTGTGGTGGGGGGTTTAAATTCCCCCCAAAGACCAATCAGGCTTCCGTCAGATGCAAAACGCAGAAACTACAAGAACTTTCTAGAAACCGGCACCAATATACAGAAAGCTTCAGAGCGCGCTCAGCACCTTATTTGAATTCATTGCCAGAACCAATCAAGAAGTGTGGTGCTAGTTACTTTATGGTGGTACGTTTACCCTCCACATTCACGTCTCGTGAAAATTTGCCGTAAGTGTAAAAACTCCAAGCGCAAGTCTGTCCCACCAATAACCAGCGAACACCTGGATATATGCAGATTTTCAAATTACAGGGAAGCCAGGAGTAGACAGTATCCCTGTCAGTCATTTAGCCGCAACCAATTGGGACCTTGGAAGGCAGGGCCATAGACAGTACAAAAGGAGCCCGCCGGCTCAAGTTGAAGTCTATTTCTTCGGGGGTCGCGAAGTGGTCTTGCAGCAGGGCGGCGGCCTCAGCTGTGAGCTAAAGCAGCGTTGGCTCCTGCAAGCTGTCTTAAGGTTAGTTTGCTTCCGATAGATACTTGTAGTGGGCTTTTAACGATCAGCTCTATGGAATGGAATATTATAATTTATTAATATGTTAAAAGTTTGGCGAACTTTGGATTTATAGCAAGTAGTTTGCACAAGATTGTGCTTTATGTTAAAACATAGTGACTTCAGTATTTTGTTTAAATGCTGGTTTTGGTTCCTTCATGTCGTTTTAAGATACCAGGGTGTTCTCAACTTCAAAATATAGAAATAGGTGGCGATTTGGGGGGAGCAGGTGCTGTGGCTTCCGGAGAGGTGATTTTTGCCTTTTATATCTTCAGGTGTTTCTTGTCACCATATTGTTGAAATTTTGGTTTCTGGCCCCTCCAGTTTGACTACTTTTTACTTGAAAAGGAGAAAAGTACGCGCGGAGGGATGTGCGTGGGATTCCCACCGCGAATGGCTCCTAGCTGCCTTTGAGTGTATTGTACTGTTCCTTTTTTATATGTTAAATGTAGGGAATCGCTCCCTTCATGTGCTGACTTTTAAAAAAGCTAATTTTCCATTTGGGGTGGGCATTTACCTCACTGGTTAGCATGTTGCTTGGGACGTGGAATTTGGCGCGCAAACCGTTAAGATGCCGCCTATTGGACCGCCTACTTTCCCTCCCTGCTCCCAACTCTTGCTTCCTGCTAGCGTGCGCTATGGGAGGCAGCAGGCGTGGATTGGGTCCCTGCCACCCCTGGGGGCTGGGATGGGGAGGGCTTCCCGGGCCTGTCTGTTGCAGGCATTTGGGGAGTGAACCAGCAGGTACGCGCTATTTCTGCTGGGCTCGGTGCTCGCTGACTATGTCTGGAGTATACTCTGGTGCGCGCTCTCCCTCTTGAATTTTTAAAAATATTTTTAAGCCGGCGCAGCTCACTAGGCTAATCCTCCGCCTAGCGGCGCCGGCACACCGGGTTCTAG